ATTCTGTTGTTAATGATGCTCTGTTTCTGTTAGTGAGATGATGATACCCTGATTCTAAATATTTCTTTCTATATTCAGACCAAAGACAATGAAAATTGCACTGTTTGTCGTTGCTTTGTTACTGGTGGAGCATATGACGGAAGCAGTCCGTGATAAAGAAAGGAACAAAGTCCATTCGATCCAGAAACGATCTTCATATATCGAAGGTCTTGCTCGCAAAAGAGCCTGCGGTTCCACTAACTGCAAGTAAATCTGCTTTTTTTTTTAGTAACTATATAGCCAATTTCGAATAAAACATTTTGATGGAAGAATATCATTTTTTTTATACATGCCTAGCGCTGATAATTACCTCTTCCAGGGTTTCGTTAGTTAGATTATCATTACTGCTACATGTTAGACTTAAAGTTTTCAAATACTTGGATACGTTAGATACTTAAAGCGATCTTCGCTTTTCACGATGCAAAACTGGTAGTTTGTGAACGCAGTTTACAAGTGGATTTTTATCTAAATTTATTTCCATAATCATGCAATACATTACCAAAAGCAGATCTGTCCGTCGGAATATACGCTTTATTTAATGCCATAAGGCCACACTTTTTTATTTTTATGGATGACATCCTCTGGGGACCCCAAAGTCGGTGCGAGCGGGCGAAAAAAAAAAAAACGGTCCAAAAAAAAAAAAATGCTTAAGAAATGTTATGTTTTCAGTACACAGCTGGAAACACTAAATTACCACAAAAANTTTTTTACCTCGTAGTTACTTTTTCATAAATTGACGGGGGGCCAACTTACCCCGGTCTCCCCTACAAATCAGTTTAAAGCGAGATCGAAAACTGGAAATCAGAATGTGAAAATTGACAAATAAAATATTGGAGAGACCGAAAAACAAAACGAATCTTTCAAATGGACCAATGGAATGGAATGCCTAACGAATGAACAGATATTATTACATGGATACAGGACTTTGAGAAAATATATGTAGGAAAGTGGAAGAAGATGAGAACCTCACGTGGCTTTATTGGGGTGTTGATTTAAACACCTTTACCTTAAACTGTCCATAAATAAACATGAGGTGTGCCGGTGGGCTGTTACAACGTATTTTGTGATGTTAACAAAAAAATAGATTATATACCTAGAAAACGGCAGATTTTCGTCAGAACCGTGATAATGTGTGGGGTAAATTACCTTTAAATTAGCCTTCTTACGGGCACATGAAGTCAAATATAGAGACATCTTTTTAAATTCTTATCAGTTAACAAATTAGTTTGCCCAACTGAAAATAAAATTGACAAATTTTCAGTAGAACCGTGATAACACGTGGGAGAGATCACCTTTGTCCCTACGCCAACAAAGGCACGCGAGAGCGCGTAATTGTGGCATGATTATACTTTTGCGAGATAGCCCTGTGTTTAAAGAAAAGTATAAAAGAAAATTGCGTCAAAGAAAAAATTTAGATGCTTAGACGTGACAAGCAGTGTAAGAACAACGGATCTGGGGTAAATATACAACTTTTTTTTGAAAATGTGGTATTCTTGGGCAGCTTTGTCTTGATTATCTAGATTGGTTATTCTGCTGTTAATGATGCTCTGTTTCTGTTAGTGAGATGATGATACCCTGATTCTAGATATTTCTTTCTATATTCAGACCAAAGAGAATGAAAATTGCACTGTTTGCCGTTGCTTTGTTACTGGTGGTGCATATGACGGAAGCAGTCCGTGATAAACAAAGGAGCAAAGTCCATTCGATCCAGAAACGATCTTCATATATCGAAGGTCTTGCTCGCAAAAGAGCCTGCGGTTCCACTACCTGCAAGTAAATCTGCTTTTTTTTAGTAACTATGTAGCCAATGTCGAATAAAACATTTTGATAGAAGAATAGGGCCTATCATTTTTCTATACATGCCTAGCGCTGATAATTACCTCTTCCAGGGTTTCGTTAGTTAGATTATCATTACTGCTACATGCTTGGATACGTCAGATACTTAAAGCGATCTTCGCTTTTCACGATGCAAAACTGGTAGTTTCTGAACGCAGTTTCTTATCTAAATTTATTTCCATAATTATGTAATACATTACCAAAAGCAGATCTGTCCGTCGGAATATACGCTTTATTTAATGCCATAATTTTTGAAGTGCAATCCATGCAAAAGACAGCTCAAACTGTGGCAATTAGCAGCGCGCCTGCCAAAACCCATAATGACGCTGCGTTATGCATAGTAGTAGAGCAAAGAACTATATATATTCCTGAGTCTATACAGAGGTGGTCCAGGGGTAATTTAGTGGGGAGAATAATTTGATTCAATCACCCACGACTCACCCACCCCAATTCAAATCACCTGCTAAATTTATAGAATGGAAATTTGTTTCCTACGTACATATATTAGTCCGCAAGAATGTTGCCCAGTCTACAAGACCGTATTATACTTTCAGGGTAAAGGGCTGTGAGTCTGGCGGTGGCTGGTGGTTTGTGTCGTATTCTGCGGGCTGGCACATCCGGGGCTCTGATCGAGGTTGCTGTGGTAACTACAACGGCTGCTGCAGGCATGCTTCTGCTGCGTGCTACTGGCACGACTACACATGTCGCTGTTGTAATCCTAGTTGGTTTTGTGGACCTTCGTGCAAGAAAGCACCAGGATGCTGATACCATGTATTGAATATTAATACATGAGGTTAACTTTTATTATTATAGGGCCTAGTCTTTGAAACAGTGGACGCGATTGTTCAGATTAAAGTAGGCTACCTGGTAGATTTTTCATTGTTATAGGCCTATAAATACCTATTAACACTTTGTTGACTCTTCCTCCGGCAGACGATGCACTTTTGGAAAATTAAATCATAAAATGAATGATAGCATTTGTAAAAAAAAACGGCCGTTAGACCATTAACGATTTTAATAGTCACCACATTCATACTTAAATGTAGCAGATATCAAATAAAATGGAGTTGGCCGAGTGAATCTTTGTGATAAGCAAATAGCTAGCTCCCTATTATTTTCAAATAATTTCTGTTAGAATACGATTTGATAAGTCGAGCACTGCGTAATGTATCCTCAAGCCAGTTTCACAAAAGCGCCTTATTCGAAATTTGGCTTTGACTTTAAGAATAAAGAAGAAAAGGGTTCACTTTGACTCAATATAAATATTGGTACGTTATTCTGATGAATAAGTTGGACCTGTTTTATATGTGTAAAAAAGGAGAAATGGCCTGTGCTTCAGACCAATAGTTACATTTTGTCAGTGATCCATTACAGATTCATCCGGCTGTTTGTACACCTCCGCAGAATTCGCTACTTCCTTCCCATTATCTCTTCCATTGTATCCTCATCATTAAGATATCTAGACACCGTATATAACTGGGCAAAAACCACAAAAATAATTATATATAATTTATCCATTTCGTCAGGCAGTAAGGGCCGCTGTCAAAACACGTCCTCGGGACCCACGCGTGAATCGTCTTTTTTTTTTTTTTTTTTGATAAATGGATTTTAATCAAGGTATGAGTCTACAAGTCTATTTTCCATGCATTAACATCATCATTGTCATTTGATAAAAAGCTTTAAAACAAAACAAATGCAAGTGCGTGTTAATACGGGAGTAATGGGCTCCCATACCAATGATTTCTGGCACATATGGAACGTGCCGGACGGGAAAGTAAGGAGATTTGCGGTTAGCAGTTTTTAAAGCCACGTTCGCTTCAAGTGTTTTTTTACGATCGCACCATGAAATCACAAATACCCCATTCGGTACGAATACAGATCACACAGCGTTGCGATAGTTTCCCTCACTGTACTGGGGGGGGGGGGCATATCAACCAGCAATCTGTACACCCTGATGACAAGTACCCTGTACATGTAAATGTACATATTTGGCAAACACAGGGAATGGCAGCTACATTTTTACAGGTCTAGTAAGCATAGCTAAATTAACTCGTAAGAGACGAATTTTGCCATTCAGCCTAACCCTGGAGTCGGTTTCATTAACTTGCTTGTCAGGTGAAGTTGTTTTTAATATTTCAGTAATTAGGTATAGCTTTACGAAAATTAAACAAGACAACAACACTGACAAATATACTGGGTAACACAAAATAAAGCATTCAAAGATATTTAAAGGGGTACAAAAGAAATCGATTTCTGAATGAATCTGCCTTTTAATTTTTGTATATAACTAATTTTCTTTGGTAAGCATAGCACTTTAACTGTCTTAAAGGGATAATAACTCTTTGTATGAGATCTATATTTCACAATAAAAACATTGTGAATAACTCATAGAAATATAATATATTCTGTTTTACCACAAAAAACGGCAGTTATAGCTATTATTCTGATATCTGAGCTTGTCTTTAGACCATGTGACCTCCACTGATGGCTATACTCTGTTAAAATCTCTTAAAAGATTTTAACAAAAAACCAAACTTTTTAGAAAAAAAAACAGGGGCTAACTTTGAATGTAAAAATGGATTCACTAACCATTGGTAAGTGTGGGAAAATTGTTGTTTACTTTAGGAAAATTCATTTTTTGGCCGAAACGAAGAGTTATTATCCCTTTAACTATTTTTATCGATTGACTGGAAACAATACCCAGATAAAGCCATGTCCATGCAAGCAAGGAGTTGATGAAAGTAAGTGGGAACTATACAAAAATTTCTCGGTGACAAACATTTGACCTTAAATATTAATATGGCTTTTGTGACCCCTATAATTAAATTAGTTTTCTTTGTCAGGACTTATCTAAGATACTCGGTATGTATGTAAATGTAAAATATCAAACATTGGCAGCCACCTTGATTATTTAGATCAAACGAGATAATGAGGCTATTTTGCTACGAGGCTATTTTGATTTATTGTGTCAAAAGGTTACAACAAAATTTGGTGCTTTTGTCCGCCGTGTCACAAGGTGACTATTATTTTGCGCTAAGCCGCCTTACTTACCCGCGTACGTAATTCTCAAGCGACGGCATTATTTCGTTTAACGTAGTGAACGATTAAATAAACATGAACCAGCCTACATGAATGTCAACTATACGAACTTTGCTTAGCATTGAATAGGATATTTTTCCTCTGTCAACTTGACATCATACTCATTAGGCGTGCATTTGGTGGGCATAGTATGGGTTGGAATTGCACCCGTGAGGCTAGAAACGTGACAGCGTCTCAAGGAGCAAGAACATACTGGAGTGCACGTGCACGTACAGTAGATTTTATATGCAACAATAGGATAAATACATGCACACTGTTCGTCACAACATGCTAGCTTACAGAAAACGTTTTCAATGATCACCGTTTACACTATGTGCGCTAGGAAGGATATAATACCGCCAAGTAGGCCCACTGCGTTGGGACAACCACAAGGGTGAGATTATCCTGGTACATACTTTTTTGTACGGGGTATGTACGTTGGCGTTACTCGAACCATTGTAATTTCTCATGGTACATCGAAACATCGACCGCGTCGCTTTCCTGAAGTGCTACTGCTATTGATTTTCGTGTGTTCAACATGATTAAATACCGTTTGGAAAAATGACCCTGCTGTACATGAACAAAGAGACGGTAATACTTGGTACATATGTTATATACCTATACATGCACTCTGCATCTGTGCGACACATCCGCCGACGACACTGTTATTAACGCAATACGAGTACCTCTGAGAACTATAATTCGGCTTTCAGCAGTCAACCATTCATCGTATTGACCAACTACCTTTGCCTTTAGGTACATGTATCACGAGGCTTGGAATGGTCGCCATTAATTCTTCCTAGGGTACTCCTCCCTGTATCCCCTAGGGCAAAATGAGCGGGGACAGATCAGTCAAGCGTACATATTTACAAGACATGAGAGTCCGGATGCACGTTAGCAATACACGTATGTTGTATTAGATATTTACAATTGTGAGTGTCCGAAAGGAAAAGCAAATTTTGTTGGTCAGAGCAAAGTCGGTTGTATGCGTTGTTCTTCAGAGCGACTGTCTTTGAATGGACAATGTCATCAGAAAGACTGATAAACTAGTCCTCTTAGAAAGAAATGTGCCGATACAATTCTCTGGTGATACGTGTACTGTAGGTGGAAACTTGTGAACAAAAGGATCTACAGCAGCCGCCCATTTGTGGAAACAAGTCACTGCTATCATATGGGAGATGGATCGGGCACGGCGAATTGTGATCTTGTTATGATTTCCTTCTCATTTTCTATCGAAAAATCGACCCTCGGAACTCCCTAAACGGCGTAATCTGGAAAAAGAGGCATAAATAAGGAACATTTCACGGCAAGATCTGCTCAGGATAACACAAAGAAGGTGCTTTGTCGATATAAACAGATGGTCGTTTTACAGCGAAAGTAAAATCCAAGTCTGGTGAATTGTCACATTACATTTACTGATATATTTTGCACTTTATGCATGATGGCTAGAAGAAAAATCAGGAGTTATATTTACTTTGCTGTAAAGGCATTGGGAATTTTGATGGTATTGCGCTTAATATCCTTGTTATTCCATGCACCATTTGCAGTGTCGAGGCAATCGGTTGCAGACGCAAGGCACCACAGCTATGCCACCGAGACAGCTGCAAAGCCGACAGGACGCCCTCACAGATTCTTATACACACCGACAGAAAAGTCTAATACTCTTGCCCCTAGTAATGACATTTTCAGAGCAAGGACAAAGGCTCTCGGTTTGTATCAAATATCAAGTGACTTTTACGGCAAGCATTCAGTTGCTCAACTTGTGAAAAGTCATAAGCTCTTCGAAGAAGGTGCGAATCCTCACGATTTTCGTTACATCATTCAACCAAAAGAATCCTGCAAAGATACCCAAAACATCTATATGACTATCATAGTAAGCTCACACCCCAGTCATTCAAGTAGGAGAAATATCATTCGAAATACATGGGGCAATCCAAAAACGTTTGAGTTCAAGGGGATTTTAACACGTACCATATTTGTGATGGGACTTTCCAGGAATTCTACAACAAATTGGGCTTTGCTTGAAGAAGGTAAAAAATTTAACGATATTGTCCTTGAAGATTTTTTAACCGAATACAAGAATATGACTTATGCGCATATAGCAGGTTTTAAATGGATTGCCACGTATTGTAACCAATCGAAGTGGACAATTAAGACTGATGATGATGTGTATGTTAATATCTTTCAAGCAATAAGTTTTCAAGAAAAGAACAAACTCACAGGCGATTTTATCGCTGGGGCTATCACCACGCCTGCAGTATACAGACGCGGTGGAAAATGGCGCGTGACAAAATCTGAGTATATAGATGACCGATACCAGACGTACCCTATGGGATATGGTTATATGACTACAACAAACTTAGTGTCCAAGATGTATACTGCGTCTATTTCGACACCGTTTTACTGGATTGACGATGTTTATGTGGGGATTTTAGCCGCGAAAGTTGGTGGCGTGCGCTTCAGAAGAACACAAACTAACAATTGGCTGGGTAAAAACGTTAACATTAATGTTTTAGCAAATAATGGCGCGCTTTTCACACATTTGGAGGCCAGGCATGTCAGTAAAGCCACTGATATCTTTAAAAAACAAAATCAAACATATCATCAGGGCTTAAAAAGACGCTGATTACAATAATGTATTTTGTTCTTTCTTTTTTTGCGCCTAGCATCACGTTTCTGACGGTTTGATAATAAACAGATTATTCTTTTGCAATACAGTCAACGTTTGCTTTCACTGTCTTATATTTTATGAATGCAAATAAGATAAGTATTTTTTTCCAGATATCGATTCTTCTTTGGGTTTCTATATGCCTAATAATAAGGCATATGTTGCTGGGGTGACAACGTATTATTTCATACATAATTTGACCCTATATCTATGATTTGATTAAAAATTAATTAATGATTTAGTTGCGTTTTCTGAGTACATTTCTAGTTTGCCACGTGTTTTTCATTGAGCAAATGTGAAAAATGAATAGCCATTTTGCAGAATACTCGATGTGTGTTTCCTGAATAGTGGGGATCTACACATGTTGTATAAAAATGAAAATGAAAATAAATAAATAAATAAATAGATAAATAAATAAATAATGCACTACCACAAAGTTTTCTCCGCGAAAAACACAACACTTTTTTCTGGCCATATGGGACTATTTTAGGACAATGCAGTTATTTCAGCAATGAAATTTTACACGTATTGTTTTCTACCTGACAACAATACTGTCGTCTGAGCATGAAACGAATAAACTCGGACATGGTTTGACATTTAAAATGTTTTATTATGTTTTACGATAGGGACATCGCACAAGATCTAACTAAGTCGAATACAAGGTTATTATGGTGCGGTCGTCATGAGGAGCTAGGCTGCACAAGTATGTAATGTCCATTGTTGGAAGTGTACGTGTACCAGAAGACGGATTCTGAATACTGCATACTGTTTTATGGCGATGCTCTGGGGTTGTTTTGCTCTTCGGATATTTGCGCTGCCCAAAAGAGTCTGTATTTACTGAAAAGATATAATTAATTACGTCAGCTTAATAAATACTGTAGTAATTAAAGGTGGGTAAAATTGGTCACCAAGTGATGTGCACTGGTCAGTCGTATTTTAAATTAGGTTATATGTTAAGCGCATATTCAGTATAACTGGTATACGCTCCTCGGTTTCCTGATTCTTTAGCAAACTTAAAACACCCTCTTAAAATTAACTTAAAATATCTCACAAGAATTTAAGGGTGAAAAACATATTCGGAATACAAAGATAGCATAAGCTTCAATAACTAACCCAATAAGTCTTCTTGGCGCCGTAGTGTCTTGGGTAGTAGCCATAATCACCGAAGACGAACTTGCCACGGGAAGATAATACAGCGGCAGTGTTAGCTGCACCACGGGCCCGGGATGCAGGATCGAGCTGATAACCCCCTGGGTAGTATGTGAGGCGGCCATCTGGTCCTGGGTAGTAGTATTCTCCAGGGACGGCGCACGCCACGGCTAAAATAGCGAGGAGACAGACAGCTTTCAACATCATGGCGATTACTTGTTTGTGAGACGATCAAATATCGAAACGCTGAGAAGACACTCAAATCGCTCTTTTTATAGTAAATTTTGTGCGTGCGACTTGCTCATTACGTGTTTCTTTTATCTTTTTTCTATTTTTTTTTCAATTACCGCATTTATTTTGATTTATCGTCATTATGTTGATCACGTACTTTAAATAATTGGCATGGGTAAGTGTTTTTCATACGCCCTTCATCTATTCTTATAATTAATATTATTATTAGCTATAAAAAGTTAATATCGTCACTTACTGATAAGCACTGGTCAGTCGTAATTTAAATCTAATTGTGAATCAGTATTTCTGTTATTTTCCTAAATCTTTAGAAAGTTCTGAACTTAATTTGATACCTCACGTGAATCAAAAAAGGGCATATTTGGTATACAAAGATAGCTATGCGGCAGTTTTCCACCCAAAATACCTTCTGGCGCCGTGGGTAGAGTGTTATAATTTCGCCTTGGATAGTTACCGACCTTCAAGCAATAGCGTTGATTATAAGAATATATAGTGTCATGTAGTTCTTGTTACCTCCGTTTTCACCCCTGTTTGTTTGTTTGTTTGTCATCAACATAACTCAAAAAGTTATTGACCGATTTTGATTAAATTTTCAGGAACTGTCAGAAGTGGGCCAAGGGACAGATGATTAGTTTTTGGGGGTGATCTGGATCAATAATCAATCAATAATCAATAATAATCAAAAATTGCTGCCTTGGCGGAGGTCTGCGCTCTCGGAGTGCTTTTCTAGTTAGTTGGCTGTTAATCTGATTGCATTTAGCAGGAGTACCCGTGGAGTAAGTATGTAAAAGCTATTGCGATCTAGTGGTTCTGATATATTGCAAGTTTATACTGTCAGGTGGTTTTCATGATGAAAAAGACCGCCGTTTCTCATTCGACTTTATTCTAAGTATTCTAGTATTCACTTGACTCTTCAGGAACACCTCGCCTCCGTGATGTCTCTAGAGGTTTTTTATTGTCGTGGAGGTGCCTCTAGTAGAATTAAATAAGGCAGCAAAGATGTGAAATATGCAGACAAATAGCAGAAATAATGAAGCACAAATAAGATATTTGTCAATTTTGATACAGTAATACATTATGCTCCACATCATTTTCAATTATGCATACTTCCAGAAAAAGAATACACTCAGGCTGGCTTTCTAAAATAGGGTTTTCTTCAATTTTGACGCAATATTACATAATACTTAACAGCCTGATCACCAACAGTTTTTAATAGTATACTAAAATTATCATGTATATTCACAAAATGTAACTGGTAAAAGTCTTCAGGCCCATGGAAGTTCAAAGTCACACCTTGAAGATGCTGATATGTGAAAACGTTATATATCACAAAGAACTGCATAGTCTCCAGAAAAAAATATCAATCAGCTGGTATTCCAACTCGGGCTATATTTTAGTCCTGTTTCTTATCTGTAAGTTTGAGAATCATAAGTGACATGGTTTCCTTAAATGTTCGCTATGATGGCAGTGGCTAAAATAGGGTTTTCTTCAATTTTGATGCAATATTACATAATGCTCAACAGCACAATCACCATTAATTTTTAGTACAGTGTAGTATACTATAAGTATCACGGACAATGAAAGTTCAAAGTAACACCCTGAAATGGCCAATATATGAAAAATGAATATTTCTCGGAAAAAAAAGCATAACTTAGAGAAATACGATCAGATCAGGCTGGTTTTCGTACTCGACCTGTATTTTAGTAATATTGATCAGTCCTGTAAGTTTGAAGGCAATAGGTCAATCGGTTTTCGGTAATCTGTATTGCATACACATGCAAGCTTTGAAAAAATCAAACGAAAAAACAGCATAACTTTTGGGAAAATATTTCGATTAAGCTGGTTTTCGAACTCGACTTGTATTTTATGAATATTTAACAGTTCTTTAAGTTTGAAAACAAATGTGCTCAGCGACGGCGACGGTGGCGTCAACGACAGACGCAGGTAATGGCTCTATGTACAGACACATCTGTATCTGTACATAATGGCCAATGCATGGAATGACCAATGAGCGTAAAAGAGCTGTGTCACTGAAGACATTAAAGGTAGATTTGAACCGAGAGTCAGTGGAGTGTGGATTCCCAGTGACGCATATAAAACACTTCTACTAGTTTCTTACATTACTCAAATTATGTCGAAATGCCAGGGGATAAACCGAATTAATCAAGCATAAAATGTTTTAAACTGCACCTTCTTCAAATTTTGCCCCGTTTATACAAAGCAGAAAAAGCAAGCAGAAAAATCCGTTAAAATATCATTTCTTGGTAATATGATACGATGACTTTTGGTGTTTCTATTGATTATACCGAGTAAAACTAAATAGTGTCATTTGGCAGGCTTTTGTGGAAATTAATATTGATTCAAATATATCTTTAAAGGGATATCAACTTTTCACATGAGATTCAAAATTCAACAATAAATGCATTATAAACAACACTTAGAAATGTAATTCCATTTCACCACCAAAACGGCGGCTATCGTAATTATGCTGAGATCTGTGCTTGCCATCGGACCTCGTGTACCTTCTTATATGGCTTCCCTCCGTGATAATCTCTTGAGGTATTGTTACTAAAACACTTTTTCAAAAATATCGACTACCTTTCAATGATGGAATGGATTCAATATACGTCGGTGTGGGAATTTTTTTATTTGCCCGTCTTATGGAACTTTTCCTGCCAAAATGAAGAGTTGCTATCTATTTAAGTCTGAAATAAGGATAATGTGATTACTCATGCTATGTATTCCTGAATGATAAAGTAGTTTAATAAAACTCGAAGGAAGGAGTCATTAACTAGCAATTTTTAACAGGGGCTCTTTTGCTTGGACTGAGCACCTTTGCACTATGACTGACAACTACGTTTTTTTTACTTATGTCATAGTACCCTTGCACTAAAACGTTTTTTTTTTAGTATGTAATAGTACCTTTGCACTAAATCTGACAATTATGTTTTATCTGCATCACTGCATAAAAATACTAATGCCTCATATCTGATAATTGATTGGATTACTGCACCCCATGTACCTGGTACTATCAGTCCTTAAATCTTTCTATTTTTTTTTTTTTTTATTAAATAATAATAACTTGCTTGTGTTTCATCTTTTTTTTTCAATTACCACATTTATTTTGATTTAACGTCATTGTGTTGATCAGGTTCTTAAAATAATTGGCGTAGGTAAGGACAGTTATTAACCTTTCATACATTCTTATAATTAAAGCTATTGTTATTTATAAAAATAGGTAAATATCGTCACTTACTGATAAGCACTGGTCAGTCGTAATTTAAATTTGAACGTGTGTTAAGCGTATATTCAGTATTTCTGGCATTTTCCTAAATCTTTAGCGGCAATATGCCTTCTTGGTGCCGTAGCTACTATCAGTCCTTAAGTCTTTTTTTATTATTAATAAACTTATTTCTTTTGATTTATCGTCATGCGATTGACAAGGGCAAGGAAAACCATTGTTTTACCAGTTTCATTGACTTTCTTTTTTCTTCTTTTTCTGGCGGTAATTCAATGATATTATACATTATACACGTTTAAGGCATTGCTTCTAAAATCAA